AAGAATAACTGTCACGTAAACCGGCAGGGTAAGACACATAAGCAGTGATCTTTACAATAAACTTAGTTCCAGATAGACTTGCCCAGAAGTCGACTTCTTTGAGCCAATAAAGCTGGTCAGTATTCACCAAATAGACAGATCAAGGTCATTGCAGTAGCATTCAATGCATTCCGCACTCGGTTTCAGAAGGTCTCTGTTTTTTATATGCGGAAATAGGTATTGAATAACGCTACCTCCCTTTCAAAGAGAGAGGTACAATTACAAACAATTTGGTTTATGGTTATAACCCAGTGACTTACCGTTTTTTCCATGTTTATATTGCATAGTGTGTGATTTGATTTCATCCCTATGAATACCACTGATGTACTTCGTTTACTGATCGTCAGCTCAGTTGTTCTACACGCGTATTACCATGGCTGTAAGTGTGAAATTCCTTGCTGCAAAATATATGTAATAAGCTTTCTATCAAATTGTAATCTAATGGGAAGGCCAGTAATGTCAGCTACTCGTCATCGTTTGGCAATTCAGTGGACAGGCTAGCCTGTAATAAAATCTGACTATTTATTTAAAATATATTTCTTTAAAACCTGGGCTGAGCTTAGTCTGCTACACAGCCGTTACGCTCCTCCCCGAAACGTTGAAACCATGGTCTTGCCTGATCACAAAGTGGCAATAACAAAACAGTCCAAACACTGTTAATGTTATTCTAGCCTGCATAACAGGCGCCTTATGAGCCAAGCGAGGCGAGCGCGGCATTTTGCGCGAAGCGCGAAACGAGTGTGAAGCGCTTCGCTCGTAAAACGCCTGTTATGCAGGCTAAACTTATTCAAAAAACTATTACCAAGGAAGGAAATACCCGCTCCAGTCAAAAGACTAGAAAAACTCTAAGCTGGAATATACTGAGGCACAATGCAATTCTCCACAGTAGATGCAGCTTCATTTTAAGCTGCACTTCATTCTTATAACTTTGGATCTGTAAATCACTATCCGTGATAATTTAACATCCTGCAAAGAAAACTAACGAGCGGGGCCCAGCGTGATAAAACATTGCAGATTCACGGACTAAAGAAAATCGCTTAGTTATTCAGGTCCAGAAGGCACTTTGGAGAAAAATTAGAGCCCTTACTTAGCCGTAATAAAAAGCCTTACGCTTTAAACAAGGTCGAAGAAAATGCTCCTTCATCTAGGGGCAAATCTTGCCGACCAGAAACAAAAACCACTGTAAATCGATATGCGTGCCATGACCTCTCAGTGTGAAACAAGCGGCTAAAATCACATTTGCTCAGTAAAAAAATGTAGAACCTTCCATAGCATAATCTACCTAATCTACCCAGCAGAAGGAAAAAACGTTATTGAAACAAGCAGCATTTTAGAATAAGGTAAAAGTCGCGTAGGCCTACCACCGCCTTTTATTGCTACGGAAGTCGGAAGTCGGAAGTTGGAATTTGGAAGTCGGAAGTCGGAAGTCGGAAGTCGAGAGACCCTTCTCGGAGGCTTCTTCCTTTCCATGGGCGAGCTGGATATGACGGAGGTGTTCATGAAAACGAGGCTAACTGGTAAAGACAAAAAGAAATAAGAAGTTACGCATACAACAATAATGTCACGGTGTAGTTCCTTGAGGTAGTCTGTCAAGCTATGTGATCAACAACGATTTTTTCTCACAGCACGATAAAGTCGACTAAATTACGTGCTTCAAGGGCTAACCAAGGTTACAGTTACTGAATGAGATCATTGGGCTTCAGTGATATTCGATGTTAAGGTAAATTTTTGCAGGGAATCGAGGTGAACGACGGATGCGTGATGATAAAGGGTCTTTTGTATGGAAAGCGAAAAGAACGGTTCCCACGTACCCCATGATGACTTATCGAATGTTACTTATAACGTTATTAGCTTAACAGCAGAGATCTTTTAACTTCGTTTTGCAGTGTTAATGTACCGCACGAGGTGGGTTTGTGATTTGATGTTGAGAATGTCTACTCAGTCTGCTGCTGACCTTCATGTTCTTGCTGCCCTGTACGTTGTAACCTTGTCTTTCTGTGGTAAGTTTGGAACTTATTGGTATAATGAGTGCAATAAAGGTACCTATTTTGCTATCCAGAGTAACTGCTCATGCACGATTTTAAATCTACGAAAAAAACATGCGTTTCACATGGATTCCTCCATTATCACTCATACATAGTAACAAACGTCACGCAAACTCCGGGCGAAAAAACCTTTAGTTTAGAGGTTACTTTGGTGAAATTAGACGTACGGAAATGTTTGGACATAGTTTGTGAGATCCAAAGAGCTATTTTTGTTAGACAGTTAGGGCGGTTAGCCATGTTTTTAAATGGCGACAAAATGATGAGACTGTTTAAGCTGCGGTTGCATTTATTGAAAAAAGAAATTAAAATGGTTCAGAAAGAAGAAGGAAGTCAGGCGTGTCGTATTTATATATATCCGCTTTGAAATTTCCCTGTGACTCTTATGCTGCAATTTCTGTTTGTAAACCACGCAAACTTACATAGTGTATTGACGGTCGTTGACACGAAAAGGATGAAATTGTTCGTTTACTGGAGATAGGCTTTCCGAAAGTCCACTTTGGCTTAAAGTCTCGTAGACTTTCAGTCTTAACTTTTTCGTCGCTGGGAGGCTGAAGTTTGCTCTTTAGACTGTTTACAATGATTTCCGTTTACGATCTATCATGTAAACGTGCTTTAGCTCGATCCCACGATGTCCCTGTTTACGATCGATTGGACGTAAGTCGCGTAAACACGCTTTAGTTTGTATGCCTTTACGAACTTGATATCCGTTCATATCCGTGGAGAATTGTCATGTGTGGGACGAAAGCCATGTGAACACGCTTTAGCTCGTATGCGTTTAATATAACGAACTTCGGATATCCAATGATATCCCGTCTTACGATTTGTCACGTGTTGGACAAAAGCGGTGTTAACTCGCTTTAGCTCGTCTGTGTCTACGAACTTAATATCCGAAGATTCCCGGTTTACGATCTCTCATGTGTGGACAAAGTCGTGTGGAGGCGCAGTTTGCTCGGATGCGTTTACGACTGAACTTTATATCTGATGATATCTGTTTAAGAACAGTTGTGTGGACAAAAGCTAAAAAACGCACTTTAGTTTATATGATTTAATAAATTTGATTTTCCTTTTAGAACAGTCATGTTTGCACGAAAGCCGTTTGAACCGGCTTTAAGCTCGTATACGTTTACCGCTGCGGAAATCCGAAGATATCCCACTTTAGTAAAATCCAACTAGTGGTCTATTATCAATGCTGCGTTCTGATTGATTGAGCTACTACTAGGCTATATGTTATAGCCCACAAGTAGCAAAAAGCGCGGGCTTTTTGGCGGCAAAAAGGATTAAAGTCTAGCTTAAACTAGCTAAAAGTTTTTTTAGCTCGATATTTTTGACCAACTAGTTGGATTTTACTAAAAAGATTATTCCTCTCGCCCTCATGGCCTCTTCGGGCTCGAGGACTAATTGTTAATTACACTCTCTCATGTGTGGAACGAAATTCGTGTGAACGTGCTTTAGCACGTATCCGTTTACGAACTTGATATCTACCGATATCCCGTTTTACCATCCGTCTTTTGTGGACAAAAGTTGCGCAAAGGTGCGTTACTTTGTATGCGCTTACAGTCTTAGAGATTCTTGTGTGTAAATGCATGTGAACCGTACCAGGGTGTTGTTACATTAGCGGGTTGGTGGGGAGAGTACTAACTCTCGAGGGCGCAGAACAAGCTAAGGAGAGTTGTAGAATAAGATCCACTTTCAAATGTTAGAATTAGTGTGAGCCATATAGCGATTCAAACCTGGCGCTTTGTGTCAACAAGAGGCTTATTTGCTCTTGGTTTATTGAAGTAAGTAAAAAGTTGATTAAAAACACGAATCTTCCCTACAAGCCAGGTTTTTCCTTTGTTCTTGTTCAATCCTTACTTAAATTAATGATTGCTTGTCTTAATCCTTGTTTCAGCATCACAGAACGTCTCGATTTCACAAGAAACAAACTCCAGGTTAGTCTTAACAGAACCCATGGTTGTGTCAGAAGAACTTCTTGTCCACAGTTACAGCAGATGCTTAAATTGACGCCCAGGCGCTTATTTACCATTTTGAGTTGGGTTTATTCGACGAGTTGGGTGGGGACGTTTGTTTGAAGGGGGCTCTTAATTCGTTGTTCAACTGTTTGCCACAAAATAAAAATGTATTTATTTCCAGTAAATACGTACCGTAACAGTAACATAAACCCAGATGGATGAGCAATCAAAGGTAGAACAAGCTGCTCACAAATGCCTTTTTTTTTCAGCTGTATTCCTGCGGAGCCCCCAGTCAGCTCTGCCATGAGGAACGCGTCTTGTTCTTTTTACCCTAAAATAGATGGAGCCTGTGAAGACATCATAAGTAGTCGATATGTTTATGGGGATCCTGGTTTCTTGAGAGGAAGCGAGAGTCTCAATGCAAGGTTCAATGGTTACTTAAAAGCGGGATTTATATCTGAAGGATGCCAATTTTCCATCAAGGAATTGGCCTGTCGCTATTTGTTTCCATTGTGTGATACCTCTCTAAACAAGCCTCGTGCTCAGGGGATTTGTCGTAAGACTTGTCAGTTTGTGCTCCATGGAAAGTACTGCGCAAAAGAGTTAGATGTCCTGAGAACAATTGCGAAAACAGATCCTGTTTTTATCGAAAATCTAATCAACTGCACTATATACCCAGCTGCCAATGGAGGAGAGGCATCAGAATGCTACCAACACCCTGCATTACCAGGTGATTACTTGTAATATTTCCTGTGTGGCTTCAGCCCCCAGTTGTTCAAAAAGTTGATAACGCTATAGTACAATTGTTTTCTTTAATACTTATGGGTCATTATACGGTTCTGGGAAACTGCCCACCTGCCCCTCCCCTAAGCTAGCATAACACTTACTTCTCACTAGGGGCAAAATGTTGGCTTAGGGGAGGAGTAGGTGGGCAGTTTTCCAGAAACATCCACTGGATAGGGATTTATCAGGTGGATAGCGCGATCCGGCTTTTGAACAACTGGGGCCTGGTTTATATTTTTTTTTGAAAAAGAAAGAGTCTTAACGTAAAGTTCTTCTCTTTTTCTTTTTTAAAGGCGACAAAACCAAAAGTACAGGTTTGTGAATCTTTTCTTAGCATGCTTCTAAAGCACTAGCCTAAGTGATCTCTTGTCTAACGAGGGACTGACACTCGAAATGTCACTTTTTGAATTTTATTACTGAGTCAAAAGAGGCACTTGCTAAGTACAATATGCAATCCTTAGATTGCTACCATGGCATTGGCGTTGGATATCGTGGTAAAGTGAATATAACTCGTTCAGGCCGTTCTTGTCAGCGGTGGATTTCTCAATGCCCTCATCGTCATCTGCGGATTCCTGAAGATGTTGTTGATGGTCAGAATGACTCCAACATGTGTCGTAACCCAGATGCTAGTGCCCCGGAGGGACCTTGGTGTTATACCACTGACCCTAAGGTTCGATGGGAGTACTGCAACATATCCCGCTGCCCTCCAAGAGGTACTTTTAAGTTTTGTTTTTGCAAAATCTTACAGCTTAAGAAAGAGCAGTTCAATATGCATGCTGCCAAAGAGGTACGTTTGATTAGTTACACCAAAAGATATACTTTTCCAGTAGACTCATAAGTAAAGTCTAATTATTTTCCTTCTTCGTTGGTTTACTCACTATGTTTTTTTCTTTCTCTTCTGTTTGTTAATTTCCCTTCTTCTTCCTTCCTCCCCCTCCCTCTTTCCCTCCATTCCTTCCTTCCTTTCTCGCCCCCCCCCTTGCATCCCTCCCTCTTTCCTTCCTCCATTCCTTTCTCCTCCTTTCCTCTTCCCTTCCTTCTTCCTTCGTTCCCTCCTTTCTTCCTTCCTTCCTTCCTCCCTTCTTCTGTCCCCCCTCCCTGCATTCCCCTCTTCCTTTCCTCCCTCCCTCCTTCCTTCATCCTTCGTTCCCCCCGTTCCTTCGTCCACTCCTTTCTCCCCCTCTTCCCTTCCTTTTTCTTTTGCTCGTTCCTTCCTTCCTCTGTCCCCCCTCCCTGTATTCCCCTCTTCCTTTCCTCCCTCCTTCCTTCCTTGATCCTTCGTTCCCTCTTCCTTCCTCCATTCCTTTCTCCCCCCTTCCCTTCCTTCTTCCTCCCTCCCTTCCTTCCTCTGTCCCCCCTCCCTGTATTCCCCTCTTCCTTTCCTCCCTCCTTCCTTCCTTGATCCTTCGTTGCCTTCTTCCTTCCTCCATTCCTTTCTCCCCCCTTCCCTTCCTTCTTCCTCCCTCTCTTCCTTCCTCTGTCTCCCCTCCCTGTATTCCCCTCTTCCTTTCCTAGCTCCCTCCTTCCTTCATCCGTCGTTCCCTCCTTCCTTCCTTCGTTTCTTCTTTCCTTCCTTCCTTCTTCCCTCTTCTCCTTCTTCTTCCCTCCACCTTTCCTCCTTCACTTCTTCCCTCCCTTTTTCTCTCACTTTTGTTTGCGAAAATTTCCATTCACCAGTTCCATCTGATGGCCCGAGTTTCCTAAGAGGATATCCTCTCAACTCAACTGCAATTCACATATCCTGGGAACGTATCCCTCCACCCTCTCACAATGAAAAGCTCCTGGGATACCGCATAAGATACAGACGCCTTGGATCCCAGTTATATACTGAAAAGAATGTTACTAGTAACAGCACAGAAGTTGTGATCAGCAGACTTGACTTCCGAACTTCGTATGAAATTAAAGTAAATGGCTTTAACGAAGTTGGTCACGGACCACCTGGAAACCTCATTACTGTACAAACCTTGCAAAAGGGTAAGTAAATGCAATCCCACTCTGCACTCTTCCATTAATTGTTCTGTAATTAATTTTAGTTATTAGTTATTGCAATATTCTTGAAGTAGAGGAATGGGTGTAGCCCAATTTATAGATACTGCCATTGTACACTCTGTGAACTTTGATGATACTAAGTTTTTAAAGTGAATAATCTAATTATCCCGTAGTGTTTCTGGAGAGATGCTTTTCAATTTTTAGTGATGGAGAACATCGGAGAGTGACTCTGACATCGCATACCTACTTTCATTAGCTTCGCTCCTGACCATAGGTGAAAGATGTTGAAGTTCCATTTTTAAGACTGAACAATTTTTCTGTCTTTTCAGGTAGCATTGTGGTTGATATAAACTTTGAGCTTGTGATCAACGCTGGTTTTCATAGTGATCTACTTAATAGAAGTAGCGAAAAGTTCATAGTGATGGAAAGGAATATTACCTCGAAGGTAAGCAAAGGTTATTTGGCAGTTGATTTGCCATTTCGCCATCGTTTAGCGTGGTTTTTGGGCGCGCTTTTATGAATTCTTAACTGCCTTGTACGCAGCTCTGTTTTTTGGTTTGATAAAAAGAATAAGACTACTGTTGCGTTGCAGATTAATATCCAGTTCAATGAATCCTCTTTATTCAAGATTTACGAAGTCAGAGTTTTGAGCTTCAGGTAGTATTGCTCTTAGTCTTACCAGTCAATATATG